GCGGGCCGTGGGGGCTGCACGGGGGCTGGTTCTGTGGGGCGGCGCGGGGCCGCGTGTCCCGTGAGBGCCGCCCGGCCGCCCCACGCCCGGCCGTGTCCCGCAGATGGCCCAGCAGCTCGTGCTCCGGCGGCTGCTGTCCCTGGCGCCCCGCGCGCTCCCGCCTCGAGCCGCCGGCAGGGCGCTGCGCACCACGGCGCGCCGCGGGAGCGCCTTCAACGTGCAGGACGGCAGCGACTTCCAGGAGCGCGTGGTCAACAACCCCAAGCCCGTCGTGGTGGATTTCCACGCACAGTAGGTGCCCGCGGGAGGGAGCTGCTTCTGCGCGTGTCTCTCGTCTCAGACGGGAATGTTTTTGCCTTGTGTTCCCGCCATGACGGCCCTTTGGGTGCCTTGTGCCTTCCCTTGGTGCCCTGCCGGTCACCTCTTTGGCTTCAGGGCTTTGGTGGTTAGAAGGGGTTTGTCTTGTTTGAGCTGCCTCTGCAGGGAGATCCGTGAGGTCTCGCCTGTCTTGCATCTTTGCAGTATGGCCCTGCTGGTATTTAAAAACATGAAAAGCCAAGAAAATGCTCCGGGGGGCAGCACAGTGGTGCCTTCAGAGTGTTCAAATGTCGCCTTGGTCTGAGCATTTCAACATCCAAAAGAAAAAAAAACCCTCAGGACTGAGGAATTCCYATGTCTCTGTGCACCCCCTTACCTCACCTTTCAAGAGGCGACACAAACAGACAGACACGTAGGCGCCTCACGTGTTTTCATCGTGCCGGTGCAGCTCACGSGCGAGGAGGAATGAGCCTGGCAGCGCTTGCAGCCCCAGCTTGTTCCGTGGCTCCCTCCTCCATAGAGCTGCCGGCTGGTTACGGCAAATACCCTCATGAATTCCACACCAGGAAAGCTGTGCCCGCTGTCCGGTCCTCTCTTACTGCTCCTTTTATTACCTTCAGCTTGTTTTTTTAGGTATTCCTCAGTATTCCCCTTACAAGAATGAGTAGCTGGGAAGTATCAAGCCGCCCTGAATGACCCTGTTGTGTTTTCCCATTTTTTTTTTAATGCTGCCCTTGGAGCAGGGCTGTTGACAGCAAAAGCCTTTGTCGGTAGCAGCCCTGCGATGCCAGCGGGAGCATTTGCCATCAGTAAAGATTTTGCCATCCTCTTGCCAGTAAAAATACACCTAGATGTAAGCTGTGGGATTAAGGAAATGGGATTATCTTTGTTTTCCTAGGTAATTTGCTAGTCCTACGTTGCTGATATCTGAGCCTGTTGTGGCAGATTCTGGGCAAGCAGCGAAAATCAGCCCAAGAACTTGCACTTGCAACAGAGCAAACGGGCAGACTGGAATGAATGGGAACTGGGATCGGCCAAGGAGAGCAGGGCAGACCGAGAGCCTGGGTCTGACGTGGAGAGAATCTGGCAAGGAGCAAAGCTCAGCAGTGCTTCCACTTTAAATAGTAATTGAAGAAAATAAAAGCAAAAGCATAAGAGCATTTTGAGCTTTAACACATATTTTCTGAAACGAAATAAGCTTACGCCTTCCTGAGTGGTGCGGTCAGTGGAGGCAATGAATGTTTTCTGTGCACAGAGCCCTGCAGACTCTGCTGCCACTGCGCTTTGCTTTGGAGTAGGTAATCTTCCCTTTAACCAGTGCTGCATCTTTGCAATTTTTGCGGCTAAAGGGGCATTTTTTGCACACCCTGCAGTTACTATGGAGGCCGGATCAGAGGCCAGGGCTGGTGTGGGCTGCTGCCCCGTGTGGGAGCACTGGTAGGACCCTCTGGTGGGCAGATAAGCGCAGGGAAGGGAGGAAAGGGAGGCCCCCTTAGCCGGATGGAGCAGAGCTTGATGTGATTGAAGTGGCATCCAAAGCACCTGGGCAGTGAAAGGGATGCTGCATAGCGACCTCCTCCTTCTCTCACCTCTGTGGTAAACYACAACTACAAAAGATGTTTGTAGGAACAGTGTTGCGGGCTTAACTTTTGAACGGCAGGGCTGCGGGGGGGCTGGTTAATGYTTACCTTTAGTGTTTACGTCCTAGCGCCGTGGCACGAAGGTCAGGTTGGACACAGGAGGGCAAGTGGTGCTGAAGGCACCGGGCTCTGCTGGGGCTGCCCCGTTCTTACTTCATCTGACGCCTGCCCTCCTCTTCCTCGCCCAGGTGGTGCGGGCCCTGCAAGATCCTCGGCCCCCGGCTGGAGAAGATGGTGGCCAAGCAGGAGGGGAAGGTGCTGATGGCCAAGGTGGACATCGATGACCACACGGACCTTGCTATTGAGTACGAGGTAGGGGGCGAGGATCGCGGGCCCCTCTGCGCTGCTGACACAGATCGTGTCGCCTCGGGCTGGGCCGTGGCCGCGCGGCGGCGGCCTTGCCAGGGAGAGGAGCCCCGGGTTGCTGATTCTTGGGGCACTTGTTATTCAGAGGCTCTCGCTGCGTGACCCTCTCCCAGGCCCGCTGCTGTGTTCAGCATCCTCACCTCTCACCGCAGAAACACGGCCCTCTGGCCTTGCAGAAGTGCCTTAACATGAGGCTGCCTGTGCCCAGGGAGCTTGTAGCGTACGTAGAGCTTCACTGTGTCCATGGGCTGCCCAGGTGTGAGGCAGGGTGTGGGTTAACAAGCTCAGCCTTTACCTCTTTTTCTGTTYCCATGTAAGTGTAGGCAGTTTAAGAAATCAGAACATCTCCTGGAAGRCTCACCTAGTCCCTGCTCTCTCCTCTTGTAAACCACTGCTCAGCCTACGGAGATGAGACCTCTCGCTGCCACCAGGGAAGAGCCTAGATATCCCTTGCATGTCACCCAGCTAGGAACTGCTCCCTCTCCTTAGGTGGCGTCCTGTTCCCGGGGCTGAGGCTGGCGCAGGAAGCTCCTCCGTTGACTCAGCAGCCCCAACTTGCTTGTGAGCAAGCTGCTGCTTTGCGTAGCCTGGAGGGGACGTGCTGTGCTCTTCCCATACCCTGCAGTGCCGAGAAAAAGGAGGAAGCTGAAGCAGCTCGTTCCCTCCCACTCTTTCCCAAGCAGAACTCGCTGCCTGCGCCGCCCCAGCAGCTGCCCCCACACGGGAGGATGCAGCTTCCACACGTGGGGTGCGGGAAGTACCGATGGTGCCCTYGGCACCATAGGATTTGGCGCTCTAGGAGCTCAGCCGCCGCTGCCTTAACAGGGCCCCCTGCCTCCGTGCTCAGGGTGACAGTGAGGACAGGCCGAGGAGGCAGAGATTGTTTCAGCGAGGGTCTCACTAGCAACTGTCCTATGTAAGGAGAAGAGAGTGGAGATTATTAGCTTAACTCTTTTATTGTTCCAAGCCTTCCTGTAGGTGGAATTAGCTCGGATTACAAGAGGATAATCTCAGAGACTGGAAAACAGCAAATAGAGTGCATGAATGTAAAGAGAGGTCTTTAAAAAGCCTGGAAGTTGTTCTGTTCTGTAGTGCTGATTACACTGTTCAGCACCACATGCACTTTGACAAGGTGCAGCGCTCGCTCACTGCCATGCCCTGCCCKGTGTGTACACGGAGCTGCAGGTTCTGCCTGTACAGGCTCCCGCCGTGCTGAGGTAGGTGCAGGGGTAGGTGCCAGGCCTTGGGGAAGGGCTGGCCTCCAGCAACCCCTTCAGGAGCATTAAACCCCAACACAGCAAACTGTGGTTTTGCAGCACAGCTGAACCCTCTGCTCTCCGAGTGACACCTCGTGTTTTCCAGTGTCCCCAATGAGATAGCCACAAATAGTTAGGGGTAAAGGAGAATTATTTTTTATCTGGTCATTGTAATTCAGGGTGTCCTTTTCATGCCAGAACTTTGATTCCCAGTCTGTATCACACTGACAAATGCTTGGATTTGCTCCTTCTTCTGGGAAGTTGCCTGGGAAGATACTAGGTGAGGATCAAAAACGGGCCAAAGATGGTATTTGGAAGAGATGAAGAAGGCCAAAAAGGCATTTTTTTTTTAAGCTTTTCCACCTGAGASCAGATGAGGCAGTTTTCATCTTGGAGGTTTTCAGTGTCCCTGCCCCCCATAACTGCCCTGCTGGCTGCCAGGAAGTCTCCTCCCGCCCGTGCTTATTCCCAGCCCACGTGCGGAGCCCGGCTCGCTGCCGCGTTGCACAACAGCCTCTCCAGCGGATTCACCAGCACGGGAGGAGGAAGGGAAAAGGGGAGAGACCCCCGGGGCCTGAGGAATCTCTGCGCATTCCTTCTCTCGCCGCCTGCCTGCCCTTGGCTCCGGGCTGCCCAGCGCAAGGCGCAGACACATTTGCTGCTGCTGGAGACACCCTGGGCACCCTTCCCTGTCCTGAAGGACAGCCCTCAAGGACTGTCCTTCCCCTGGGGATTCCTACACCCTTTATCTAACACCTCTAATCTCTGACTGTGGCCTTTTCCCACTCTCCCACCCTGCTCTTGCCCTGAAAGCTGAAAAGGATAAGGAATCCTTTTGTTTCATCTGCTTTCTCTTAAAATCCCTTTAATTTTTATTTTGCATTTCTTTTAAAATCAGTTAAATTTGTATTTTTGTCTTGGCCTGTTGCCCTGTGCATGTCCAGTGAGAAAGAGCAGTCCCTTCTGCTGCGGTTTTGCCTCGCAGACCTCAGGGAGCCCTGGTGGACACAGGGGCAGTCGTTCATCAGCAGAGCTCATTCTTGTTGGGAGTTTTATGTCCGGTTCCTAAACATGGGTGAAATCCTCCCCCCTTCCCAGATATGTAGGATCTGARTTAGTACAAAGACCTCAGCTTTGGCTGGGAAAGAATTCCCTTGGAAGAAGTACTACCAGGAACAGCCTACATGGTTTAGTTTATTTCATTTATTATTTTTATTTTCCTTTATGTTTTCAGGGCTGATCAACAGCAGCYTGACCTTTTCTCTAGAAATGTTATGGAGATTTTTTGGTTTCGTTTTTGTTTGTTTGTTTTTGGTTTCAGTGCAGATTGGATCCAAAAAGAGGAGAAAAACAACAGCAGCAGCAAAAAAAAGCTGCAAGTTTTCTGTGTTTTAGAAATCCCCAGTGCCATTTGCTTCCCAAGCCCCAAACCCAAGTACCTGCTCCATTGATGGGCTGCCTCTTCTGTAGCTGGCGAGAGGGATCACAGATGCTCTCACAAATGTCATTTTTTCTGAGCATCAACCAGGAGCTCTCAGGGTCCTGGTGCCAGCTCTACAGCCTCAATCCCCAGGCCCATTTGCCAGCATTTCCACACTGCTCTGAGGAAGGGGAACTGAGCCCYGTGCGGGGCTTCCAGCTCCACGGTGCCCTGTTTTGAAGCCCTTCAGACTGTTGAGCTTTTTCTGTGGCWGTTGAAAAGCAGAGGATGGAGCCGGGTCCCGGGCACAGGGGCTGCTGCTGCTCGGCCCGGCTCACGGCAGGAGTTGAAGGGAGTAAGTCAGGAAGGAGCTGGAGGGCCTCTGTGTAGCGCAGTGTAACCCCACAACCCAGCATTATCTGGGCTCCTCCGGTGCTCTGGAGTTTCATCTCTGCCTCACCTGGCCTAGTGCTGTGTCTTGTGGCACAGCCCTTAATGCTGCTGGTTGGATACACTATTTTTGGGTGGAGCTGGCACGACTGCTTTTTATTACCCCACTGARCAAACCAGAGGGGAGCTTTGGGGTACGTTCTCACTCCAGGAGAGGAGGCGCCGGTCCCATGCAGTCCTTGCGCTGCTGGACTTCTTGTGTCTAAAATAAGTGCGTGTGTGAGCAGCTCTGGAGTGCCAGTTCTCCCCGTGTGCTGCAGCCAGTCACTAGGAGGAGCTGAAGAACCTGCCTTGCACCAGGACCAGACGTGGTGGCAGAAGCGCCAGCGCTGCCATCCTGTCAAATTAGGCTGCACAAAGCCCTGGAGACCCAGGGAACCAGGCTGGACAGGCCAGTTAAGATGGAGTAGAAACGGAAGAACAAAATGTCCCTTTCATCTCCAACTGCTGATGGGCCCAGCGCCAGCTCTCCGGAGGGTTTCCTGCGGGAAGGATTTGGGAGCATGGCAGATCCCTGCTGGAGCAGAGCGGAGGACAGCTGGGAGCGTAGGAGGGAAGAGGCCTTGCAGGCTGGCGGACAGGCGGGGTGTGGGTAGGACGTGCTTCAGGAGAGAAATGTGTGGGGTAACAGGGCACGGAGCCCGTGGGGCTGCAGCTGCCCCCCAGAAACACAAGCAGGTCTCTTCCCTCATGCAGCCCTGAGCTCTGGCTGCCCCTCTGGGATGTGTCCGCAGGGTCCCGTGGTTCTCTGGTTGTTGTCCGCTCAGCAAGTCCCTGGGGAGCATTGTCATTTCCACTGCTGTTCTCTTGGGTAATTCCCGGGAAATTTTGTTCTGAACTAAAATAGTAGCACGTGGAGCTCTGCAGCTGCCGGCTCTCTGCGGCTGAAGGGATTTCTCCCTTTTTGTCTAATTGCCAGGGGTGGGCAGCGGCAGCCACTGAAATGTGAAGTGCTGGAAGGAAAGATGGGTGGAAGGGGTTGTTGCTGCCGTGGTAGGATAGGCGGGAAACTGCCTGCTCGGAGATGGGCGGGAGCCATCCTCCAGCTCCCGTCCTGGCTGGAGAAAAAGACGAGTCTGGTACCAGCCCAGCCATAAAATGTCCAAAGATTGTGGATGAGCAGCGTCCTCGAGAGAGCTGCTACAGACTGGGTTTGAAAGCTTCAATGGGAAGCCTGAAAGGAGGRGAGGGATTTGTACTGGAGGGGACCAAATCTGTTTTAATTTTATGTATATATATTTTTTTCTTTTAAATGTTGTGGCTTAAACTAGGGAAGGTTGCACAGTCTTAACCTGAGCAGTGTTACTTAAATCAACACAGAGATAAGGCTGCAGAGAGAAGAGCATGGAGCCTCCTGCCTTCGAGGAGAACAAGTTACCCTTGGGCAGTGAACAGTCTCTCTCTAACAGAGAGTCCGGAGAGGGTTGAATTTGTAGCTTGCTTTCACTAAAAAGCCTTTAGCCATAGCAAGTGAAGTCCTGGAAGTGGAAAGGTCTTACCTACAAACACCTGGAAAAGTTTTACCTACCAACACCCTTTCCTGTTTCCCTGTGCCCGGCAGTTGCCGTGCCTGCAGTGAAGGGTCTTTGCAGAGCTCCCTTCGGGGCGCGGGTGCCGCGGGCTCCTCGCGGCCTTCGCTCACACACCTTTCTGCCTCCCTCCTTCCCCAGGTGTCAGCGGTGCCCACCGTGCTCGCCATGAAGAACGGGGATGTGGTGGATAAGTTTGTGGGGATAAAAGACGAGGATCAGCTGGAAGCATTCCTCAAGAAACTCATCGGACCCTGAAGTAAAAAGGTGGCTGTAGCTCTGCCTCTGGACGCGTCCATGTCACGCGTTCCCTGCCCGGGAGAGCAGAGGGCGCATGACCTGCCCGCCTTGTAAAACCTGGGGTTTTGTTCAATTTGGGGGTCTTAGGAGATGGACAGTGTTGTAACCTTCGCACTCCCCCCTTCTCTCCGGCAGCAGCAGTTGCAGGAGGCGCTGAGGAGCGCGGCCGCTCATTCCCCAAGGCAAGAGTGCAGCTGGAATCAGGAGGCCTCCCCTTTATCAGCAAAGGGCTGACGTGGGGCCCTGCTGCTGAGCTGGAGGAATGTTTTTTCCCTTTGCCTAGTGTCAGATAGCCCCGAGCAGAGGGCAGTGACTCCCTGGCAGACGTGCACACATACCTGCCCTGGGTGGGTTTGTTTAAAGCTGAGAATGCGTCTGTGAAACCTGCGCCCTTGTCCCTCTGTCCTCATGTTGCTGGGGCACGTAGGAGCCTCCTGCAGATCTAGGCGCTCCTCTCTTTTATAAGAGGAAACAGAGAAGTGTTTTGTGGGTCTCCTTTTGTAGGTCTGTAATAAAGAGAACTTTATTGGTCACTTCTGTATACTTGGAGAATAAAACTCGATTCTCTGGAAGCCTGGGAAAGCCCCCTTGTCTCTGCAGGGGTGAGAAGGGAAATAAGCAGAGCAGTGGCTTATTTCCCAGCATGGGTTGGGAGAGTGCAGCTTAGGCTTTGAGACACTCCCCTAGCCTAAAACGTAATGTTCTTAAAAACAAATAAGTGGATTATTTTACAGGGCTTCTGATGCCGCTTCTCCGACTTCCCAGCCTGATCAGACCCCCTGTTGGTGCTGCTGAATCCAGGACTCCGGAGAAAGGACCCTCCTGTGTRCAGAGGAACACGGGCCCGTTGCGCCCAGCAGCCCCGCTCAGCAGCAGCCCCGACCCACACGCGCTGGGTTTGCTTTCCTCGGGCCTCTCCTGCGTGAGGAGCGCGAGAGCCGCCCGCTCCCTTGTGTGAATAATTAAATGTGCTCACACAGGTGAGCCGTGCCGAGGGGCAGCCTTCCCATCTTGATTGCCTTGACCTTTAGACCAAGGAGTAAGACTGTGCTCACAGCAGCAGCAGCCTTCAGCCCTCCCCTCCCCTCCTCCTGTCCTGTCAACCTGAATTTTGGGTGTTTTCTGTTTCCCCCTGCAGTGCCCCATTCCAAGCCTCCTCTTGCACCTGCAGGCAGAGCACAAGGCCAGGGCTGGTGCTCGTTAYAATACTTAACTTCAGGTGACTTACCTAAGATGCATGAGAACACTGTACATGCTTCATAACCATGTAAAAGCCCTTTCCCTGTTCCTGTTCCTGCTTCTGTTTCTCTTCAGTCGCTTTTAACGCTGGTTTGGCTCAGCTCATTCTGCCTCTCTGGCAAGAGGCTGGTTGTTACAAGCCGCAAGGCAACTTTTTCTGCACCTTTCCCATAACCATTTAAGGAAGGGAGGGGAATGGGGCTCTAGGTCTTAGGTGTTACGCTGCAACCGCAGTGCAACAGCCATTGGTGTTCTGAGCAGCTTCCCTTACCTTGGGCACCGTGGGGCCTGGACAAGAGTGAAACCAGTGCTGGTTGCCCTAAAGGGGGTCCCTTGTGGAGAGCTCCAGGCTGAGCTGCCCCCCCGGCAYGTCGCTGACCCAAAATACTGCTGGACGTGGTGCCACTCGGAGGTGATTCAGCAAAGCCCTGGTGGTCAGTTGTGAGCAGTTAAAATAACACTGTGTTTTGGAGACCACCAAAGCTACGCAGCTGGTGTCCTGCTCGTGCTGCAGGCCCGGCACTTTGCGGTTCAGCTCGGYGTTCCTGCTTCGTAAACACCGATAGCGCAGCCTGCCGCCGTTTTCCTGTGCAGGCAGCAGGAGCGGGGGAACAGCGTCACACACCCRACAATAGTCAACTTTCATGCCTCGCCATCCCACAGAACAGGAAAAAACATAGTGGCTTTGCATTGTGCGTATAAGAGACAGTATAATTTAGCTATATKATCACTTCCTTCTGAGGAAAAGCGCAGCTAATGTGGCGTTCAGCTATTTAAGCACCAGCACAATTTAGAACAGGCTGCATGAAAAACACAAAGTGTTTCTCTGAGATAAATACTGAAGACCCACATCGACGGTGAAAAACCCCTCCAAAACAACGTAACTGGTGGAGAGGAGAAGGGAGTTCTGGAGCACCTTCAGATTCCCTGAGGGATTTGCAAAATTTTCACTGTGATACAGGATTTTAAAAGTGCAAAACTGTTTTCTGCAGGAAGATGTTAATTCAAATCCCTGTTTGGTGTCTGCTGAGGGAGKCTTTGAGGATTTAAACAGCTGCTGCTAGTAACATGTTAGTGGGAAGCAGTACAAGCAGTGTATTAATACAGAAATAAAAAGAGGGGCCTTATAAAGCCATTTCATGTCACCTGAATGTCACATTGGTCATTCCTGAACGGGCCAATGTAATAAGTTATGTCTCAATCATGGTCACTTCTTTCCTGGTCAGTTGTTGAAATGTTTTCTTTGTTCTTGTTCTGGCAAGGATGCAGTTTTACTTTTTTTTTTTTTTTTTTCTCTCTGAGTTAAACACGGCTAATGTTCCTCCGGTCTGTTAAACATTTACCTCCTTGCCGCCCAGGAGCGCCTGCATTACAACACTGCTCTCTGCTCCTCATGTTCCTGGCTGCTCTTCTAAGAATGTGCGGCAGCTGGTGCCTTCCCAGGGGGGAAAGCCGAAACCAAACCCGCTTCGTGCTCCCCGGTGCCTTCCGAACCCCGCACCGAGACCCCCTGCGCCCGGCCCGTGCCTTGGTGCTCGTGCTCCTGCCAGAGGGGCCTGAATTGCAGGCGGTGGGAGGTTTCCTCTTCGTTTCTGTTGGCTCGCGTGCAGCCCCGGCGYGGCGGCTCCTTTCTTGCGCCCTTCCAGAGGCCGCAGGGCGGGAGATCCGTGCTGCCCTTCCCGCCGGCTGTGCCAAGCGGCGGCCCGAAGAACRGCTGGGTGGACGGGAGCGTTCCGGTTGCCTGATGTGCGCGGAGTCTGCTCCCCACAGAGGCGCACGCGGCTTCCGTGGGGCCRGGTTTGGTGCCAGTCGGGTAGGGCCTCAGCTCTCTGCACACCGGAGACTGGCAGCAAATCCCTGGCTTTATCGTACCACTCCTCCCAGGTAAGGAAGGAAAGGAGTATCCATCCCATGTGAGCAGGGAAACRGCCGCCACCAGTGCAGCACTAACCTAATCTAACTAACTAAACCAACCTGTTTGATGCCACATCTTGGTAGCCACTGAGGGTGGTTTTTTTCCTTTTTTTTCAATTAGTAATTATAGGATTCAGAGAGAACTGGCAATTAAATTTCAAACCCTGCAAGATTTATTAGCAGAAGTGTTAAGCTCAGTGTTCAAAAGTGTTTCTGAGTCGTGTTAAAAAGCCACTGAAGCTACCCATAAGTTAAAGAATAACAAGCTGTAGTCTCATAATTTGGGGGGACTGCAATGTTCTAAGCAATAAAAAGATAAGATAAATTATCAAAGTCCATAAAGAAATGGAAATAATCATTACACAGCTCCATCCTTTTTACCTGCCACTCCGACCCACCCGGGATCGAGTCCGTCAGGGTACATCCRTCCATCCCTCTTGGCAGTGCAAGAACAAAAGGAAAGGTAGGAAAGGTCCAGGTGTCCCAGGCAGCTCCAGAGCGGTGCCCCAGCACCGCTGTCCTGCTCTGCTTCTCAAGGGCGCTCAGGTCACTTGTCACCCTCGTSGTTTTTCTGACTCTGCAGCTTTCTAAGTCCACTAACACTTTCCCTCTTAAAACATCCTCATAGGCAAAAACTGGAGGCTGCAACTGCCAGTGCTGTGGTTGTAGATGAGTGTGATGCCAGAAGGGGTTGCTGTGCTGAGCAATACCTGTTCCCTCCCCCGTCTCGTGCCTCATGCCCTGGGCTATGAGTTCAGAGAGGAAGCAGGGAGCAGTTGCTTTC